TATCAATATTCCAAATTAATAATTAATTACTTAGTGCAAGCTTATTACCAATAGATGGCGCTACTTTAACCTCAGTGAACAAGACATCCGTCTTATTAAAAAATGACTGTTGTGTTACAGTCACTTTTCTAATTCTACATATAAACACACTGTTACATACCACAGAGTAAAAAACAGATTTTGAGCCGTTACGCACCGCTACGGCGTTTAATAATTGTTGCCACTGCGTTTACTACTGCGATTTCCTTATAAGAGCTAGCCAATTTGTTTGATTGCCCGCAATTGCCAGTTGATGTTTTAACCATTAAAATTGTAAACTCGGCTAGAGCTAGCAAGAAATTGCTATGATTGCCGTCTTGAACACTATTTATCGAACGTTTTTGCGTACGCCGCGTTCAACAGTAAAACAAAACAATTAAATTTTCGTTTCAATGATTGCATAGAATTATTCAGTTCTTGAGGCGTGATAAATGATTAAGAGCGTTATTTTATGCAACAAAAAAAACTTTACCAATGTGTATATGTCTAATGTGTAATCATTTAGTTGTCTACACTGTGAGGGTTTTGAACAATAAATTCTCGATACTTTATGGCGATGAAGGAATGACTGTTCAATTTGAATAACGATTAAATATTTAATTACAGAATAAGCACTATTGTTATTCAATGATCTTACTGTATTTTTTATTTACATTTTTTTCAGAGATAGATTTTTAACTAAGAGTCTTTGCGTCTAGTGTAATTTTGATTGGAATTTAATTGAAAATTAAACTTTGCGTGATAGATAATGGAGTGACAAACATCACAACTTTCACATGTACAATATTTTTCGGAATTTCAAACGAATAATCCCTATTTGTTGTAAAGAGGTTACAATCATGTTTATGAGAAACAAGAGCGGATATGCTATGGCATAATTGACAGATCCGCCTCACCCTAACATAAACAAGCAAATCCTTACTTAATTTCAGTCGCAGAATTCAATCAGAATGTGGAGCTTTATGCGAGTAATGTTATAATGCCGTACATTATCCCCCTCAAGCCCCGCGACACTACGAAACCTATAATTATTATCAACACGTCACTTTCATGCTTTTCTCCTAATATTAGGGTTGTCGCATGTGAAACGTAGCGTTGATAACGGTAAATGTTTTTCCTTATTTATTATGTTACAATCTATGTAAAAGATATTTTTAATATTGTACTGTTTTTATTAGGATTGGTGATATCGATGATTTTTTATCGATATGTAAATACATATTACATAATAAATCATAAGATGATAGTAATAAGTTCATGGGATCTGTTTAACAACGAATATTAAACAAAATCAATAATAGATATAAAATATACCTTGTCTAGATACCCTAAATATTGAAAAATTAAAAGGGACACTGTTTATTGCTCCGATTTAAATAACAAAAAGAAACTTCATTACATCCACAAAGGTTTACTCATGAATCTAAGGCACCAAATGGTATGAGCATCGATTTTGATTTACCGGCATAGATAAACATCGGTAACCCTTCCGTGCGAGCACGTGGACCGAGGCGTCCCTTTAACGCATTTCATATTCCTATTTCCATTCCGTCCAACCTTCCTAGGAGGATTATATTCTGCCTCCGATGTTTTCGTATCCTATTATTTCACGGGGTGAAAATGGGCCACCCCCCTCACACTCACACAGCAGATCGCGACTTGTGTGACGTATAGATTAGTATCACCGGTGTTCCCTTGCATGTATGTGTGTGTGTGAGCGTGACGTCAACTGTAAACCACTGTCAACGACTCGTCAAAATAATATTGGCTTAACTCCGGAGCCCGTACAGATACAACGAAACTTAATACGTGCAAACATTTAATTGGAATTTATTTAATGAGATTGTTTTTGTTTAAAGTACATAGTTAGATTTTGTGAGCGGTGTCGTCGGCGTGTTTGTGTTTTGTTTCTGTTTCTTGGCGATAACCTAATTCTATATGCCTTAAATTTGTCGGTATATAGTCGCTCAAAATTCTTAATTTAGTCGGTAACTTATGAATTAAATATGTACTAGATAACAATCTATATATAATATACTTAATAATTGTAAATATCAAAAAATAAAAAATATATTACTACATGTTTTTTTTAAATACCTAAGTAGAAGAACATAGAGTGTGTTGCTTGTTGTTTCATTTCAAAATATATTTTATTCCAAATTTTCAAATTCATCTATTATAGTGTAATTAACTAATTATACTTATTAAACTCATTATAAAATAAATAATATTATGTGTGCCTTTAAATATTAAATATTGTTTTACGAAGATTTCAAGAACGGATCAAAGTTATCTGAAGCACATCTAAGATTGATCGCCAAGCTTCAAATCTCGAAACAATCCCCTACGCTCATCCATCTTGTGGCTAATTGTAAAATAATTAAAACCAACTAGGCAGACGTTATAACACAATAACGACGAAGCTCACCCGCGAGACAGCTAATGACAAGAATATAATGAGATCCATCCGTTTCCGATGATCTCTAACTAAGATATTCAATCGTTCTACTTTAGGGTTCTATAGGTAAGTTGTTATTTTTTTAGTTTTACACAAGGTTATTCTTAGAATTTTGCATATACTATAATTTAAACTTTGCCACGGTCGGTGGTGTTTTCCACGTGGGGAATTAGGTAAAACAAAATATAATTAAAAACAATACATAATTAATTCAACAATATTACCTATAGGTTTTCGACCAGAGCAATCGTTATTCATAAAGTTAACAAAAACCCAAACATTTCCACTTCATTGGTATTTGATAATTTATATACTCTATGATCGAAAATTATTCGAATGTTTTGATAATTCTAATTCTGTTTATATCGAATAATTGATGTTTGTCACTTTGATATCACCCAAAATCCAAAAGTTATGTTAATTTGTTGCGTTTCTGAAAATGAGCAAGTTATAAAAAAGTATCGTGCTTATGAAACTTTTTAAAATGTATTTTTAAGTCATATGCCTTCCATGGTTTTGTTCTAGTTACTTCCTATGTCCCAACGTGACGACCATCGATCATCACTGGAGATAGACTTCTTTTTTTTTTAAGATTTTTCTTGATAAATTTAATTTAATAATTTAAAATTTACGATAAAAGTTAAATTAAAAACAAAATAACATTGTATAAAGACATGTTAACCGCCTAGTATGTACATGTTTCGTAAAAAATCACGTACTGAGTACGTACACTACAGAAAGTTATAAAACAATACAAACATAAAATCCAATTTACGCTTAACATATCTTCCAAGCAACGTAAAGTCTGTAATTTACTAGCTTTACTAGATATTTCCCCCGAGTGAAAGAATTTTTAAACTAGCCTCAGTTGTTTCGGAACCTATTCAATTCAAACAAACAAAGAATTAAATCTTTACTCTTTTTATTTAGTAGAGATAAAAAAAAAACTTAAAATGAAACAAAGAAGATAGAAGAACAAGAACATTTCTATTAATTTATTTAGTAACAAACTAACTTATTAGATATCTGTTTATGTTCTTTTTTTATTTTAAGTAATGTAAAATAAAACAAACAAATAAAAAATGCAATAACAGCAAAACAGACCTCGCCTTTTTCACTTATGAGAGTGTTTCGAATTGCAAATTTAGGGAAAAAGTACCAACTACACTCAAGTCAAATGCGGCAGAGCGCGATAAGCAAGTACCGCTTATGCAACATCACGAATGTAATTGCTCCCTTGTCTGGCACGACACTTCGTGCTGGAACGAGAAGGCCAAATACAAATGTGCCGGAGTAAAAGAGACGAACGACAACAGTATCAACAAAGCCGTAAGCGACAAAAATGATTGATTGCTAGCCGTCTTGCGCTGAGCTCTATTTAATCACTTTATTCCCTTTTCTCCGTTTGTGCCAGGATAATTTTGTATTTGTGTAATTTGTATATGAAATGAGGAGGCGCACAGTCCGGGTAGCATCGAGTTCATATCCGGGTCTTATCTGGGGCGCGCATAAACCAGATTTTGATATTATCACATGTCACAAATACGGTTGTGTTCATTATGAAAACGATTAACGTTCGTGTAAAACACACAGACTTAGAATGCAGCGATTCATAATTTATAACAGATTAAACGGGATTTAAAATGTTAATGGGAAATCGGGATTACTCCCTAGACACCAAAACGCGTTACGAAATGAAATATATTTGCAGAGGCACGCGATGACTTCATTTGAATTATTAGTAATAAATAAAAAACATATTTTGCAATTCAAACGTATCATGTTTTAATTCTTCTATTAAAATAATGATAAATATTATTATCAAAAGAAATAGATTATGGCTTCATCTAAAATAACATTAATTATCAGAATCATAAATTGTGTAGTTAATAATAATTTCAAACAAATTGTTTATAAAAACCTATGCAATAATTAATTAGTTAAGCACATAATTTATTCTGTACACGAGAAAACAGCGTGAGTTGTAATAACTTTAATAGTTTATTGGTTATTTTATTTTGTAAAAAATGCTTCAATGTCATAAATAAAATATATATGCATAAAATATAGAACAATTCACGCTTTCTAGTTTCATCATACTTTTGTGATTGCAGATTACGATTCCATATGGATATTCCATTTGTAATGAATGTGCTTATGTTTTTGTATTCAGTATACATTTACTATTTGACTGCAGAAAAAACTACCTAGTCGATCGCGGCTTTTAAAACGCACTGTAACATCCGAGCACGTTACTATGAGTTTTACACCCCGAACGTGTTTTGTTGATACTGGCCGTTAGATTTTAAGTTTATAATAAATCATATTGCAATTAAGAACAAATTTTTTTTTTTAATTTACTAATTCATTAAACTTCCGCCTGGAGGAGACGATCATTGGAGCGGACGTGTTAGTACAAAATTTTTCAAAAATCGAGATTTCAAAAACAGCAGGTGTTATGAGTAGGCATGAACATATGAAAATAATAACTTACGAAACTCACCGCTCATATGGCCATTCTCGTAAGGTGAGTATTCGCCGTTCTCGAGGCGGTGCTTCTTGAATGGATGGCCGGGGAACTGCGTGGCGGCCAGGGACAGTCCCACGCCGGACGCACGCTTCGGAGGCCTGCCCGGTCTGGAGCTGCGGACATAGTAGCACGTTACTGCCGTTTAGGACGGGATACTTAGCCTGCACATTGACTAGACTATATAATAATAGCCAGCGCATTGACTATATAAGATAATAATAAGCTACTCATTGACTATATTAGATACAAATAGCCTGCATATTGACTAAATCAGATAATTATTTTTAAAGTAGTAAATACTAAATTGAGGAACTTAACAGCGCAGTGGCAATGTGTCCGGTTTGCAATAATGTTGTTATGCAACTATCGCAATGGCTGGTCATAGGATGGGTGTTCTAAGAATTATTATCTAGAACTCCTTTGTGTTTCGAAAGGAATGTTAAGCCGTTGGTACCGGTTGCGTCTGCAGTCGTTATCACCCACCAATTTGCACTGGGTCCGTGTGGTGGGTCATGGCTTATTCCCTCTATTCGATTCGATTCTATCCTATCCATAGGCAAGGCCTATGCCTCGACAGCGGGGACATTAATAGGTTAATAATAATGATGAGTAAATATTGTAAAAATTCTTAAGGCACTGCAGAGCTATTCTTTTACAAAAAAAACGTCAAACTTGACGACGAGCTGAGCACGGTCATAACATAGAAGTTCAATCAAACTAATCAAATAAAACCTACTTCAAATGGTAATAAAGATTTTATTTCATTGAAGATCTATGATATCATAGTTTTTATAGAATAGCATTAGGTACCCCGGATGGGATTTATAAATGAACTTTTTGCAATCCGACTACTCTAAATGGATCTGAACGAAACTGTCAAGTACGGTTACATTCGCTACAAATATAAAGACTTCAACCCAATTTGAGATAAAAAATTGGAACAATCGAATTATCACTACTACGGTCCTATTTCATATTTGAGTAACGAAATGCTGTTATAACATAATAAAATTCAAAAAAATTCTGTCACCAAATCACAAATAAAATCCAAATCCCAATTACGGTTCAAAATACTCTTTTTAATATTTTAACATCAAATATTAGGAACAGTTTTAAGCGCTTGTGATTATAAGAATATATTTATAATTGAATTGAATCGAATTAATAAGTATTAAAAAATTAGTAATGTTGTGTGAAAGAGTAATAATAATGCATTATCTAACACATATCTTATGTATGTTAGCTGGTCATCGAGAATTACAGAACACTACCATGCATTGAAATGAATTATGAAATTAACAAGATAAATAAATTATTGAAATTGAACAATACGTTACGGTAACACAAAATTATATATACTAACCATGCTTGGCAAATGTTTGGCAAACCAGATCCAGAAGTAAAAAGGAAGTCATGTCAAAGTCAAGAAAATACAAAATGTGAAGGACATAACGAAATATGCACAAAAATAATAAATGAATGTGTTTATGATATTATCTCAATTCTTACTCATTTAATTAATCTATCATTTTCCCTATCATGGTCAGTTTTGTAAGAGTTGTATAAGATAAGTATAAGTTGTATAAGAGTGTTATAATGGTCAACTTGACCATGATAACACTCTTATACAACGTGTAACATAAATAACGCACATGCTTATACCACATCACATATGATGATATGATATTATGATGATATAATTGATTATAATGTGAATGTTGAATGAATTGCATTTGTATAAATTATCGTTTTCGGTTTTCCATTAGAATTATGATTTCAAAGTTTGCATGCCACTCTATTGGTTAAAAATGTTAAGCTACTTTTCCATTTTATATACGAATTTATTACCATGTAAATAAAGATATTTGTATTTTTATAAACATTCTACGTTTAAAGCAGTGGGATAAATTGCAGGCTACTTTTTGCATCTATAGTGGCAGGGACAGGTTCCCTGTCCGTAGTCTAATTAAACATTAGACATCTCATGGGATTTAATCGATAAGCAACTGGGTGAATTGTAATAATAAAATATATCCATAAAATCTGTAATAAAACCTTTGTCAACACATCAACTAAAAGAAAATTAAAAAATATAAAAGAGATTCAGCTATGAGTTAGTGACAAATGTATAATGTAAATACGTAAAATAGGATTAAAAAAATACATTACAAACATTACTAAGAGCATTTAACGCAATGTAGTTGCAATGGTTTGTCATGATAAGTTCGAAGTTTATATTACCAATATAGTCTATGGGATAGCCGAAACTTAAACAAATTGTTAAATAGTCACTAATTTTTACAGAGCTATGAGACCTCCTACAAATGGATAAGATGATATTCTTCATCCACTTACTTAATTGTCTCGACACAGAACAAACAGATTTTGAGAGAGTCGCACAGAAATATTTTTTTATATATGCGTCGTCCTGTTACTGCCTTTGCCTTTTGAAGTGTAAGCTCTAGTTTCAAATGAATCTATAATTCAATATTTGTATTATAAGCTTCGGACGTTCACTACCTTGAAACATAAGTTAACTATAAACAAACGTCCATAAGCATGTATAAAACTTGTTACTGAAATGTGTACTATAAGTTATACTAATATTACAATCAGAAAAGATTTGATAGTTTTTCGCTTGTATCAAATATGCTCCGAAATTACTGTACCAACTTTAAAAAATATTTCACCTACGAGAAGCATTATTATATAAAGGTGACATAGGTTATAATTTACGCGGGCGTATTTGCGGCAAAACACCTAGTAATAATATAAGAATCTGGAAAAGTATACTTAAAATGGAATACTGAAATTGATTTCTAAATTAATTATTCCTCATAGAAAAAATACATTTTTAAATGTAAGCCGACTGCAAATTTCTTTAACATTACTTAAAGAAGAAACTAAAGAGCTCTCGTTTAATTTAGCTGGAACGAAATAAATCAAAACTGGACGTAAGGGTGCTGATCTATATATTTATTTATCTATCTGCCGCCCCAAGAGTTATGACCGCAATACGACGTCCGCAGTTTCCACAATTTCACGCTTATTGTTTTCCCATCCGTGATTTATGTTAGAGTAATAGAAGACACTATATTCTTGGACGCAATAAAGTATGTCACCTAAATCTTTACCTTAAGCCTATTGGCCAGCGTATTTGAGCCTTATTTTCGTAAAGAAAGGCAATGCGTAAAAGTTAACTTGATCAAATGTCTGTCTCCATTAATATAACAAGTTTCGAACATATTGGAATTATTATGATGAACTTTAAAAGTACAATGTAAATATTGTGTATGTATATAAAAACTGCAAAACGTTAGATTACATCATTAATAAGAAGTTTTCGATTGATTTTCTGAATTTCTAATTTGTTGTAATCTAATGTTATGTATCTTTGGTCGGAATAGCAGAATTGTTACGGAAATGTTAATAAAAAGAAAACTGACCAAGTGCGAGTTGAACTTACACACTGAGGGTTCCGTATATTATCTATGAAAAGCGCAAAAATAAACACTTATGTTGTATGGGAGTTCGCTCGAATATTGATTTTATTCTGTTTTTTAGTATTTCTTTATAGTGGCGAGAGTCGTCTCATATCGTCACGGTTCATGAGATGCGGAGATGATTGGTAACAAACAGACAAGAGACAGACAGTGGAGTTTTAGTAATAAGGTCCAGTTTTGACCGTAGAGTAGTGAATCATACAAAAATTAAATTTAATAGAAATTATAAATTAAAATGTCATAGTGTGTGTAACATAGACCATGATATTTGTAATTGTGCGCGAACGAACAGTAATTACGTGTGTTATTAGCATTACAGAAGCGAGTCAAATAAAAAGAGGTAAAAGTAGCAATTCTGTTGAACAAACTAGACTAAATTGAGGTTTAGTACTGTCAAACTGCGATTTCAACTGTGAAATTTTTTTTTATTACGTAAATAGTTTTTGCCCGCGACTTCCCTGCGTGATATAATTACTTTGGGCAGCATTTCTCAAATGAATATTTAATTCATTATATCGTATAAAATACCTAAAATGAGGTTTCAGGATTTTATAGTTGACAATGATTATCTTCGGTTTAAAGTTAAGTTCCTTATTTCAACCTTTTTATCACAATAAAAAGCAACCTATGTCCTATCTCAAGTCAACTCTGTATAGTGGTTTAGGCCTGAAAGCGTAACTTATATGTACCTATATGATATATACTTTCACATGTATAAGTATAGGTAATTAAAGGATTCCCCTAGCTGCTAATTAGGGTAAAAGCCGAAAAAGTCTATTTTTGTTGTAATTTTATAATAAGAGTTCAACTTTAATTATTAATTAATAAACGATTGTAGTAAATAATAAAAGCTGATTACTTTAATTAATATAAGTTAATTTTTATTTAAAAAATACGTAGACAGGCATCTATCTTCATATAAGGCAAGTATCCCCCGAAACATTTTTCATGCTAGGCTACTATCCGCCATAGCAGGCAACTATCCCCTTTTTTAGAGGTCAAATAAAACAGGATTTACTCAAAACTAATAATATGAATCTTTTAAAAAATTGGCTACGATAATAGATGTTCAAGAATACACTTTGAATAAAGAATTAACTAGTATCCATTTTTAATAAAAGAGCTTTTTTAAAAAGTGTGGCAACTATCCAGCTTTTATCCTACATCCTATACTAAGAGATTACCAGACAGATAATAAATAGACTAAGAATAATATAAATTACTATGGCTTGGTCGATTTTTAAATTCACATCTGTTAAAATTAAAATTCAAAGTTCAAATTTTTCGAATCACGGAGTAACTCGTGGTAATCATTTTTTAGTCACCCATCCCGTGACCGACCCTTGCGAAAATAGCTTAACAACCACGATCGCGGGCCGTGGTGCTTATCTACTGCGCCACCTAGCCACTCATCAGTGTAGCAAAGCTTAAAGTTCTTACTAAATTTTATGTGAAAACTCAACCTAAGTTTATTTAACGCCATCTAGTGTAGCACAAAATACGAGGGTCAAACTGAAAGTTCTTAGAACTGGCCACTTATAAACAATATAATAAAAAAATAATTCTAAAATTTGAAAATATAACTCTTTGCGTATATATATATT